AGTGTGGAAATAAAGTAACTTTTTTTTCTAAGTTACAACGTATGCGAAGGGTGGGGCCATAGAGATAAATCAAACTCAAGAGGGAGCCACGAGCAAAATAAGTTCAGAAACACTGCTTTAAACATACATATTACTCGTATTGTGACATAATCATAGTATTGTTGTTAATCAGCAAATATACAACAATGTACTTGTTAATTACGAGGAGCATTATTTTGTGATATAACTGTTATATTATTTGTCAAGTAAATACATAGATATTGTATTATCTAGTGATATTTATGACGCTAAGATCATATAATTAATGAAGCATTTATTAGCCGCGACATAGGGGCTCAAAAAATGGCTCCGAATTATTTTTCAAGTACAAACTTTTGGCTCATAGCGCTATCTCTTGACCGATTTGAGATCTAATTGCAGCCGTTACAGATGTAACTATATTTTAATCAGATCTTTAATTGGAAAATTCGTTATTAATCGTCTTTTAGCAGGCGTTTTTTAGAACGAAGTCCTTAGTCTTAAACAATACCACACTGGAAATGTGAGAAAAGAACTAAGGCTATGAAATTCTACACATTGATTGAAAATGATTACCAAGTTTTATTGCCAGAAAGGCCTCAAATCGTCCGTTGATCTCACGTAAGGTATTGTTGTAATGGTTTTTATTGTTAGCTGTTTTTTTTCTAATTATTCGTTGAAAAGAATAGAGAAAAATCTAGTCCACTCAACAATAACAAAAAACTTTTTATTTCTTCAAGTTCTATGTTTAGCGTAACCAAAATTCACCGATAGGTTTAACGTCACAAATAGCCCACTTATTTATATTTTTTTCGTCGAAATACAAACTCAATAATCGCAGCACTGAAACAACGAACTGACCAACCGGCTTACAGAAACTAACTGATTAGATCATGATTACTTAATAACTGATTAATAAACTTACTAACACAGTTTCTCTAACAGACTCATTAACCCTTGCCAAATTCTTTTTATATCAATAAGACACAAATTATTTCCTAAAACTTTAACGCCATATCCATCTCTTTATGTCAAACTTTCTTTCGGCTAAACAATAATACACATTTCTAGAAACGTCTAGATTGATAACATAGGTACAACGGTATTAAATCGAAATTAAAAATTTCACTTTTTCTTTTCTTTTCTGGAGGCACATCGAATGGGAAAGATAGTCGATCGAAAAAAAAACAACACTATTCTAGGTGGCGCTAAAACAGGTTCGAAATACTCTATAAGCTTAATTGGCTTGTTTGTTTTGGAACAAAGTCACATTGGCTTACTTTCTGCTGTGTAAACCGCGGAAAGTCGAACCTCGGATTTTAGCGTTGTAAATTCGTAAACTTACAGCTGTCCCACTAAAGGAGGGGGGGGGGTAGTTGGTAAGACAAACAATAAAAACAGGTGTTTAGCCTTCCCAGACTCCATTAAAAGTGAGATGTTTAAAGGTTAAATAAATCTTTTTCGATTTTATTGATTTATTTTTCAATTGCAATTAAATTGTTTGTTGCACTGACTTCACAACATTCCCTGTTTCCAGCTTTCAGGTTGAACCAGGCTGTGGCAGAGTTTCAGCTGGAACAGTTACAGGCTCAAGTAAGAGAGGTGTCATCTGTGATGGATCTGATTGACATTTATATCAAGCATGACGTAAGTTTATGTTTAATGCAACATGTGTTACACAGATAAATAGTCCTGTATCTTGAGTGATTCAAAATTATACTTAAGACCACGCACACGCCAAATCTTCATACCTAATCCTGTATTACATTTAATAGACTCTTAAGTCAGCGTGTAATAAGTATTCTACGATATCTGTTAGTTGTATATACTATAATTTATGAAAACCGCAAAACATATGTTAAAGAAACATATTACTATCGTGTTGATGATTTAAGTACTTAAGTGACCGAAGTTTGCTTCGGATATTCTCGAAAAGTTACACAAGAACCACCTGCGCTAGCCGTCATTAATTTTTAACTGATATAATATAGGGAAAACAGCTAGTTACCAACATTCACCGTCAACTCTTGGGCTACTCTAATCGAAAAATGGGATTTGATCGTCACTCTTATAACGCATCCACTGTCCCAAAGTGAAAAAGGAAGTTTCGAGGGACGTGAACCGCAAACTTTCGAATCATTGTCCAGTACGTTGACCAGGAGGTCATGACCTCCCAATAATTAAAGGAGTCAAAGATATCTGTTTAGTTTACAAAATTACCATTAGGGTGCACTAAAATTACAAGTTATGTCGATAAAGATGTTTGGATGTTTGTAGTGCCGATCATAAGAACATACAAACAACTGAAAACGGTTGAAAGACAATTAAAACAGTCAGGAACCTGATTCTATCGAAATAGGCAAATGTCACAATTTGTTGAAAGGCAGTTAAATTATTTAGGAAACTTGGTGTAAATGTTACCATTTACTATCCTGTACAATGCTGGAAACTTGGTGTAAATGTTACCATTTACTATCCCTGTACAATGCTGGAAACTTGGTGTCAATGTTACTATTTACTATCCCTGTACAATGCTGGAAACTTGGTGTAAATGTTACCATTTACTATCCCTGTACAATGCTGGAAACTTGGTGTCAGTGTTACCATTTACTGTCCCTGTACAATGCTGGAAACTTGGTGTCAATGTTACCATTTACTGTCCCTGTAAAATGCTGGAAACTTGGTGTCAATGTTACTATTTACTATCCCTGTACAATGCTGGAAACTTGGTGTCAATGTTACCATTTATTATCCCTGTACAATGCTGGAAACTTGGTGTCAATGTTACCATTTACTATCCCTGTACAATGCTGGAAACTTGGTGTCAATGTTACCATTTACTATCCCTGTACAATACTGGAATCTTGGTGTCAATGTTACTATTTACTATCCCTGTACAATGCTGGAAACTTGGTGTAAATGTTAGCATTTACTATCCCTGTACAATGCTGGAAACTTGGTGTAAATGTTACCATTTACTATCCCTGTACAATACTGGAAGCTTGGTGTCAATGTTACTATTTACTATCCCTGTACAATGCTTTTTCTTGGAAAAAAAAGTCTGTATGCCCCTGAATTATTCAAACGTAAAAACCTGAAACACCGCATAACAAGTTACTATTACATAGAAAACTAATTACGACAAACACTATTCTACATGAGAAAACCGCTGTTCCCTGGTGGAATAGCAGTAGGTTTACGGACTTACAACGCAAAAATCCATGGTTTGATTGTCCGCGGTGGACACAGTAGATAGCTCATTATTCCAAAACAAACAGAGAATACCACTAGATTATAGGTAAGTTAATACGTATTCATCATAATACTCGATTTATTAGAATACTAATAAGCAAAAAACTTGCTTAAACAAACAGCAGCAAGAATCAAGAAGACAATGGTGCTTGCATGCCGGATTAATATAGTGAAGAGAATGGTCCTTGCATGCCGGATTAATCATGAATACAACGGTCCTTGCATGCCGGATTAATTATAAAGAGAATGGTCCTTGCATGCCGGATTAATCATGAATACAACGGTTCTTGCATGCCGGATTAATTATGAAGACAATGGTCCTTGCATGCCGGATTAATCATGAATACAACGGTTCTTGCATGACGGATTAATTATGAAGACAATGATTTTTACATGCCGGATTAATCATGAATACAACGGTCCTTGCATGCCGGATTAATCAAGAAGACAATGATCCTTGATTAACAAAGTTTGAGTACCTGGGCCCCCAAACCCACCAAATACTTTTTAAATTACGACCTTTATGAACAATCAAATTCACAACAAAACTGATCCGTATGTTGAAACCGATAAAAACAATGAAATAAATGTTAATAAACCAAATAAACGAACAAAGAGAAGAAATGTATCGCACTAGGCCGGCGCATTCTCGAGTAGTAGGCTTAATTAAAAATTATCAAAATGGATAAAAGAAAAGTATAAAATGATAAAAAAAATAAACTACGTCTAATTGAAAGATTAACATTAATCACAATGTCAAAAATGTGAAACTACAATTAAAATATTTTAAACGTCTATTGTCTGATTGCTGCTAAACTCAGTTCAAATACAAATCTATATATATATATATATAAAACATTTTTGGCGAAGGCGTAGAATAGACACACGTGCACGAATGTGAACAAACAACACAGTTGCATGTTTTTCTGTGGTGAGGTTTGTATCGCATATTTTAACAGACAGACTATAGGGAAAGCGGTTAGTCAACAAAACTCACTGTCAACTCTAATCAGCGATAAGTCTGAAAGGTTATAACGCTAAAAACCCGGGTTTCGATACCCGTGGCGGGTACAGGACAAACAGTCCATTGTGTAACTTTGTGCTTAACAAAAAACAAATCTATGTTCCCTGTAAGACATGGGCCTCCAAGTACTCCAGCTATGGTTCCTTGACTGTATATTAGCCACATCATCTACTAATCGTAAATACAAACAAACAAATAAAAACATATTTTGTGGTTTCTAGAGAACTCTATCAATATCTATATATTCATTCTAGAGAACTGTATCTATCTATCTATATATATATATATATTTTCCTTTCTGGAGAACTGTATCTATCTATCTATATATATATATATATTTTCCTTTCTGGAGAACTGTATCTA